TTTTGAGACGTCCCCTTTTGCCAATGTTACAGGAAATTTAAGATTGAGCATGCTGTTACAGAGGCTATGTTCCAGTCAACATTTGAACCAAGTTTCATCAGTATTGAAGCATTTTTATACGCCCGTTTGAAAAACGGGACGTATTATGGGAACGCCCCTGGCGGGCGGGCGGGCGGGCGGCGTCCAATTTTGTCCGGAGCATATCTCCTACATGTATGGAGGGATTTTAATGAAACTTCATATAAATGTTCACCACTATGAGGAGCAGTGTCGCGCACATGAACCAGGTCTCTAGGTCAAAGGTCAAGGTCACACTTAGAGCTCATTGAAAAATGCTTGTCCGGAGCAAAACTTCCACATGTATTGAGGGATTTCAATATTACTTGGCACAAATGTTCACCATTGTGAGGCGGAGTGTCGCGTGCAAGATTCAGGTCCTTGCGGCCAAGGTCAAGGTCACACTTAGAGGTCAAAGTTCAGATAAAAATATGAAGATGTGTATATGGACCATTTAGTCATCATTTATTGAGGGATTGTAACACAAATGGTCATTATCAAGACTATGGCTGTGATACATATAATTTAGGTCAATATATACAAGGTCAAGGTCACTAAAGATGATGAAATATCCAGATTTTGTAAATAGAATTTAATCAAAGGGAGACAACAAAGTTATTACTTTGTTCATAAATGACTTACACAATTACTCCCCTTGATCTATTTTCTAAAAATAGAATTTAATCAAAGGGCATGAAATAATCCTCTTTCTTGGACTTGAGTATGTTGTAAAGAATGTAACATTTATTTACACATGTTTCATTCATTGGTCAAGATACTTAACTGTGATAACTATGGTGTTCTGTAGACTTGGTATTTGTTCATAAAGATCATACAGTAATTACCTTATCAAATGTAAATACTTTCTCATAGAAATTTAATTATATTTTAATTTTCAAGTAAATATCAGTTCAGCTCATTCAAAGATTAAGAATTGTAATGAAATGTATTTCCCTAGAATAAAATCTTAAATCAGAATTTTTTAGTTATTAAATTACATGTACTTTTTATACGCCCGTTTAAAAAAAGATAAAAATATGAAGATGTGTATAGGGACGATTTAATCATCATTTATTGAGGGATTGTAACACAAATGGTCATTATAATGACTACGGCTGTGACACATGTACTTTAGGTCAATATATGCAAGGTCAAGGTCACTAAAGATGGTGAAATATCCAGATTTTGTCTGGAGCATATCTCCTACATGTATGGAAGAATTTTTATAATACTTTATGGAAATGCTCACCACCATGATATGTATTGCTCCATGCATGATCCAGGTCTCCAGGTCAAAGGTCAAGGTCACACTTAGAGCTCATTGAAAAACGCTTGTCCGGAGCAAAACTTCTACATTCATAGGGGGTTTTCAATATAACTTGGCACAAATGTTTTTCATTGTGAGGCTGAGTGTCGCATGCAAAATTCAGATCCCTGGGACCAAAGTCAAGGTTACACATAGAGGTCAAAGTTCAGATAAAAATTTGAAGATGGTTATAGGGACCATTTAGTCATCATTTATTGATGGATTGTAGCACAAATGGTAACTATCATGACTACAGGTGTTACACATTTAATTTAGGTTAATATTTGCAAGGTCAAGGTCACTGGAGATGATTAAATATCCAGATGTTGTCCGGAGCATATTTTCTACATGCATGGAGGAATTTTAATGTTACTTTTATAGAATTGTTCACCACCATGAGACGTAGTGCCCTGCACATAAATCAAGTCTCTAGGTCAAAGGTGAAGGTCACAGTTAGAGCTCATAGAAAAACACTTGTCTGGAGCAAAACTTCTACATGCATAGAGGGATTTCAATATAATTTGGCACAAATGTTCATCATTGTGAGGCTGAGTGCCGTGCATAAAATTCAGGTCCCTGCGACCAAGGTCAAGGTCACACATTCTGTGCATATCTTCCCTATTGATTTGTTTTAAGGTTCATTTAACAACACAGTGCCAAGAATAAAAACTTGCTTGCTAGATAACACTTTTCCATAATGCCCCCATCTCCATCTAAAGCTTTTTTGTAAACGGGCGTATTTTGTGACTATGGCACCCTTGTTCATCATAAGTTTCATAGCAGTTTGAACTTGTAACAGGAGGCTCTTCAATGAAAACAGCAATTCATAATATGCTCATGAAGGAAAGGGTTAACTTAGGAATGAAGCTCATAACTCTCATATGTTAGCTCAGACATCCATCCGTCCGTAAACTTTTACTTTAAAAGACGTCTCCTTTTTACTTTAAAAGACATCTCCTCATAAACAGCTAAGCCAATTGCATCCAAACTTTACAGGAATGTTCCTTTGGTAGTCAACTTTAAAAATTGTTAAAAGAATTTAATTCAAAGCAGAAAGAAAAAACTTAAAAATATCTTCTTTTAGAGAACCGAAAGAGCTAGAGCTAAAATATTTGGCATGAAACATCATCTAGTCAGTGTATACCATGTTTGTTCAAATAAATGCCCTAGGGTCTAAACTTGCCCTGCCCAGGGGGTCATTGATTTGCCTTATTTGTATATAGTAAAAACTGTTAAAAAATCTTTAAAAAAAACTGAAAGAGCTAGAGCTTAGATATTAAGCATTAAACATCTTCTAGTGGGTGTCTACCAAGTTTGTTCAAATAAAAGCCCTGGGGGTAAAATTGACCCCGCCCCAGGGGGTCATTGATTTTCATAATTTGTATATAGTAAAAACTTTAAAAAATCTTCTTTTAAAAAGCCAAATAGCTAGAGCTTAGATATTAAGCATGAAACATCTTCTAGTGCGTGTCTACCAAGTTTGTTCAAATAAAAGCCCTGGGGTCAAAATTTGCCCTGCCCCAGGTGGTCATTGTTTATCCCTTTATGTACCTCCATTTATATTGTTGTTTTTTTTTCGTTCTGTTTTTAATTGAGCTAAAAATTATGTTTTTCTTGCATAATTCTAAATTTCAATATTCTTCTGACGTTTTTGATTTATGAATAAAAAAAGTCAAGCATGGCAGTTCTTGCATGAATATTATAGCTACTTTTACATAGAATTTCTTAAAAGCTAAAGGTAATTTAGGACCATTATGCCTCAGAAATGCTATTTAATTTCTCTTTCTACAGAAGAAAAAAATAATTTCTTTCTGAAGCATTTCATTTTAATGAAAACTTATAGCACAATAATCTGCGATTAACTTTTAACTCGTGTAAGATGTTATATACCTTTTGACTGAAAATAAGGAGTATATAAATTACTTAGGACTAGTGTTAAAGTGTTGACTGGTTTTTAGTAGGTGGGGGATGCAAATTCATTTTAAAACAAGAGCTGTCACAGAAAGTGACAAATGCCCCCGAAGAATTCTAGTTATAAACCACCTATTAAATGTTAAGTGTGGTGGTAAAAACTGACAAAGTTTGAATCCCAGCAGTGACTTTTAAGTTAGACAAAGGAACCTGGGTCTTGTTCACAAATCATTGTCCATCTATTGTCACTCAATATTTTAAAATAAAAATTGAAACTTCCATGTGTTCATGTATATGGAAGTTACAGAGCGGACACAACAACCACCATTTTAAATGTATATAACATAAATATTTAAAAAGTTTAAACCCCAGCAGTGACCTTGAACAAAGGCGTAGGAACAGGGATCTTAAGGGCAACACATGATAGAATCTACATTTATGATTATTTCATATGTGAAATCAAAAATATAATGCTTTCATGCATATTAGTTTCAGAGCAGACACGACCATCTCTGCCTATATGTATATTGACATCAAAATTGATAAAAGTTTGATCCCCCACAGTGACCTTGACCTAAGCCGTAGAAACCAGAGTCTTTTCGGCGGCACATCATACATCTATGGTTATTTCATATATAAAAGAAAGATTGCAATCCTTCCATGCATACTGAAGTTTTGGAGTGGACACGACCACCACCTTATATATTTATATAACATAAAAAATGACAAAGTTTGAACCGCCACTGTGACCTTGACCTTAGTCGTGAAAACCAGAGTCTTTTTTGCGGCACACCTTACATCTATAGTTAATTAATATGTGAAAGAAAAATAACAATCCTTTTATGAATTTGAAGTTTCAGTGAGGACATAACCACCACCTTCTATATTTTTAACACATAAAAATGACAAAGTTTGAACCCCCCACAGTGACCTTGACCTTAATGGTAGAAACCAGTCTTGTTCACGACACACCATACATCTATGGTTATTTCATATGTGAAAGAAAAATTACAATCCTTCCATGCATACTGAAGTTTTAGAGCGAACACGATCACCACCTTCTATATTTATATAACATAAAAAATGATAAAGTTTGAACCCCCACAGTGACCTTTACCTTTATCGTAGGAACCCGAGTTTTGTTCGGGACACACAATACATCTATGGTTATTTCATATGTGAAAGAAAAATTAAAATCTTTTCATGCATACTGAAGTTTTAGAACAGACACAACCACCACCTTCTATATTATATACCATAAAAAATGACAAAGTTTGAACCCCCACAGTGACCTTGACCTTAGTCGTAGAAACCCCAGTCTTGTTCACCATACAATTAAAATCCTTCCATGCATACTGAAGTTTCAGAGCTGACACGACCACCACCTTCTTTATTTATATAACATTAAAAATGACAAATTTTGAACCCCCACAGTGACCTTGAACTTATTCGTAGGAACCAGAGTCTTGTTCGTGACACACCATACATCTATGGTTCTTTCATATGTGAAAGAAAAATTACAATCCTTCCATGCATACTGAAGTTTTAGAGCGGACACGACCACCACTGTCTATATGTATAAAGCGGGACTGACAGACAGACGGACGGTTCGATTTTAATATGCCACCCTTCGAGGGCATAAAAACAATTTTATTAATTCATGATTTGAAAACAATCATCGATTATTTGGTAAAATATGTTTAATACTATAGTTTTCTGATTTCAGGAAGGAATGACTGGAAAACATGTGGCCATGTTCAAAAGAATTGTTGGGGCCTCATATCATTCAATGAAAGAGATTTACATTGTCACACATTGGACATAAAGAAGTGCTGTGCCTGCCAAATTGGCCGTAACTTGTCACTTGTACCAGGAGGAAGAATTTGAACTTTATAAATCCAATGTCAGATATTGCAAGACTTTTGAAAAATTTACACAATTGGGGAAAAGGGCATTGTGTATATCTTCAGATAAATTACTTGACAGTGTGTAGCTTCTCACACTTCTGACAGTCAAGATCTAATTGTATTTTATTTATTATTTTGTAATTTTATTTACTATAACAACTAGTGTAATATCTATATGTTTTACTTTTGATAATTTTAATATTACTATGTTTTTCTTAAATTCTTTTGCTTTAAATATTTTTTAGTTTTATAATTACCATTTTATTGATTGTGTAAATTTCTGATACTTAATTTTTCAAACTTGCCAAAATTACTTTAGTATAATAACATTATAGTTAAAGAAACCATCAAGTCAGCTTGGGCTATTATTGTCTGAAAATGTATGTGCTGGCTTAAATTCTATAAGTGTTTCTTTAACAATGTAGTTTTATCAACTCATACTAGAATGACATATCTTAGTAAGCAGTGTCAATCCCTTAAGCAAAATATCAGACCCTTAATTGATTATAACACAAAGATAGGTATGAAACCCTAGTTCCTGTGTTTGTTCTACAATTATCTTTCCTGGGGAAATAAAGCTAATTTTTATACCAAAAGACAAAGCTGAAGTCATTTTAACTTTGGACTTACGATTAAATGTTAAACAACTTTTTAAAACTGTCTTTTTTATCTAATCCAGATATGTGATACTTTTATTTTCAAATGTACAATTTAGAATATTCTATTGAATATGATATTTAATGTTCTAGATATTTGTACTTTGTTAAGCAAAGTGTAAAATTTTATCATCTGAATTTGCAACTGTTTATTAACTTTATATATTAATTTCTACTTATGAAATTATTATGTTGTAGTTTTTAATGTTTTTTCATTTTCAAGTTTTTATATAATTAGGGTTAAGAATCATAATTAAACCCTTTGCTTACCACTGGGACTAATAATGTAACTATTTCTGCCCCAGCTTACCATAATTTAACTATTTGTAATTATACTTGCATTTCAGGCAGTTTGAAATTTCTGTCTTTATAACCTTTTATCTATGAAAAAAGGACTTATAACAAAAGTTACAAAACTTTGTGTAAATATGTTTTCTTGTAAAATGTGTTAAGTTGATTTTTTTTTAAATAGAATAAGATCTAAATAATAAGTGAATAATTGCAAAAATATTTTAAAGATCACTTCCGACGAGCAAACACATTCGGCGGGGCATGGCCATGATAACATGGCTCTTGTTAAACTAAAAATCCTTTTGGTATACACATTTCAAGGTCTTACATAATATAACAACTTGGCTGTCATTAATGAGGCCTATATGATTCATAAAATTTATGCATATATTATTTGGTAAGATTTGAAATAACTTTTGTCATAAAATTGCTGCACACAACCTTTGCTTCACAATTTCCTAGTGACTAGTCATGACCAAGTAATTAACCCTTATTGATTTTTGGTCACTAGGTCAAAAGTCAGTCATAATAAACTGATCACATGACTAATTGGCTGCCGATAGGGGGCATACATGTTTTACAAACATATCTTGTTAAATATACATTTATTGCAGTCTGAAAATAACAGTACATATGTTGTAATATGTTTTTATTATGTTTAAAAACTATTACGTTTTCGAATTATATTTTTTTATATTTATATATATATAAATGAGTGATTCTTACTTTGGACTTTCAGGATTAAACGTTAAATAACTGTTTATAACTGTCTTTTTCATCTATTCCAGAACGCTAGCGAACGGCCTCACACCCTAAGCCATAGTTGTAACCAATTGTCAAACCCGCCTCTCAAACAAGTCACCCCAGAAAAACTGGGCGTAAAACATGTTTTAACAAATAAAACATGGTGCTTATGGTCAGCTTTTATTATCATTGTCTGGCCAACCAAATAGTTTTAAGGTGAATCTCCTTAAAAATCAATATTTGTGTATAGCAATGTACATGTATATTGGGCCACAACTAAGATTGCTTTATTCATACCCCACAAGTCAAAATTGACCATGAAACTGGACAAATAAGTTTTACAAAGTCGTATATGCATGGGTGCAAGAATACCTTATGTCTTCCAAAATGGTTGGGACACATGCTGTTTTTGCCTCCGCCTCTGTCTGCCCGTTCGTTTTGTGTCCGTCTGTCCGCTTTAAGTTTGTCTGGCCTTCACAGGCAAACTACTGGTGGAATTTCAACCAAACTTTACAGTGATCAATACCATCCGTAGATGTGCATGTCACGTTTCGCTTCACAAAATGGCTGTCAGAGCTAAAGATAGAAAAATCTTGTCCGGCCTTTATTGGTCAAACTACTGGTGGGATCTCGATCAACAAAACTTTAGAGGAGTGATCAGAACTATTCCTAGTGGTGCACAACACTGGCATGTTCTGCTTCGCTGCACAAAATGGCCACCAGAGCTAAAAATAAAGATCTTGACCAGCCTTCACAGGTCAAACTGCTGGTGGGATTTCTACCAAACTTTACAGGAGTGATCAGTACCATCCCTAGTTCTGCACAATACTAGCATGATCCGCTTTGCTGCACAAAATGGCCGCCAGAGCGGGCAGCACGATATACCCAAATATTGCACAAATATACTAAAAATAATGTCCAAATATACTAAAAATAAATGTTTTATAACAAAAAACGCTATTTTTATTATGAATTACAATATAAACATTCACTTAGATCAAATCAAACATAGCCAAATATACATTTTCCTATCACCAAAATATACCCAAATACAGTATACACCATTAAGGCTATATTAAATTTTCTAAAAAAATAATACGATGGACACTTGCATGTATGAAATTTTAGCAAAGTATATTCATTAATGAACCTACTGTAGACTAGCAAATGTCACAAGATTATTTTCTTACAACATCTGAACTGCCCATTTCAACGGAATGAATGAAAGTTATAGCCGCCTAAGTCGTACTATGTTATAAATATTGATTAATTTTCTCATTATAATCTGTATTTTATACAAAAATAAATGAATATTGCTACATTTGGGTATATATGGGCAATATTTGGGGTATATTTGGGTGTATTTTGGGTATATTTGGGTATTTCGTACGTTAGAAAAAATCTAGTCCAAATTATTGGTGGGATTTCAACCAAACTTTACAGGAATTATCAGTACCATCCCTAGTTGTACACATCACCGGCATGTTCCGCTTCGCTTTACTACATGTATATACATTCTTCCAATGACATTCCGTCTGGATGGCCATGATAACATGGCTCTTGTTGATTTAAGTTCTAATTTATTATCCCCCGCCGAAAATTTTCGGCGGAGGATATAGAAATAGTCTCCGTCCTTCCGTCCGAAATTTTTGTCCGGAGCATATCTCTAAAAGTATTTGAGTTATCAACTTGAAACTTCATAGGTGGATAGACCTCATTGAGGAGGAGTGCAGTGCACAAGAATGATAACTCTACCTTGCATGATTTTTGAGTTATTGCCCTTTGTTATTTTTCAAAATTGATTTTTGTCCAGAGCATAACTCCAAAAGCCTATGAGATATTAACATGAAACTTCATAGGTGCATAGATCTCACTCAGGAGGTGTGCAGTGCACAAGAATGATAACTCTTCCTTTTATAATTTTTGAGTTATTGCCCTTTGTTATTTTTCATACCTAATTTTTCACCTGAGTGGAGCATAACTCAAAAAGTGTTTGAGATATCAACATGAAATGTCATAGAAGGATAGATCTTATTGAGGAGGAATGTTGTGCGCAAGAATGATAACTCTTCCCTATACAATTTTTGAGTTATTGCCCTTTGTTGTTTTTTTCATGCTATTTTGTCCAGAGCTTATCTCAAAAAGTATTTGAGGTATCAACTTGAAACTTCATAGGTGGATGGATCTCATTGAGGAGTGCAGTGCTAAAGAATGATAACTCTACCCTGCATTATTTTTGAGTTATTGCCCTTTGTTATTTTTCAAAATTAATTTTTGTCCAGAGCATAACTCAAAAAGCCTTTGAGATATCAAAATGAAACTTCATAGGTGCATAGATCTCACTCAGGAGGTGTGCACTGCACAAGAATGATAACTGTGTCTTTTATAATTTTTAAGTTATTGCCCTTTGTTATTTTTCATACTTAATTTCTCAATTCAATTTTTTTCTCAAAAAGTATTTGAGGTATCAACTTGAAACTTCATAGGTGGATAGATTTTACTGAGGAGGGATACAGCACACAAGAATGATAACCTACCCTGCATTATTTTTCAGTTATTGCCCTTTGTTATTTTCAGCCATCAGTATTCACATAGGTTTCAAATCTGTAATCACTATAGCCATCAGTTTTCATTACCAAAAGACCTCTTAAAATGGAATTATTCTGCTCTACTACATATACATTCTTCCAATGAGCTAACACATTCGGCGGGGGATGGCCATGTTGACATGGCTCTTGTTCTATTGGAAGTAGTTGTGCATACCATTAAATTAATATCTTTAAATTTTACCAAAAGCTCTGAAAAAAGTAGTTACGTCCATATTGCATTAAGCCCTCGACTTAA